GGGTAAATTTGAAATTAAAGTCTTCTGAAATGGCTGGAAGTGGGTCTAAAACTGCCAAAAGTGAAGTTAATTTTTAATTCTTATAAAACGAGTAACAAACTGGCCTTCACGTTTGACGAAATTTAAATGAATAGACTAACTCTAAGTAAAAAAAATGGTGATTAAATCAGCCAAAAAAGTGGGGGGGGGGGCCTAAAGCCCCCCTAGCCCACTTCCTGCGCTGTCCCTGCTTTTTAATCGTATGCAATCATTTAGAGCACAATGTTTTTAAAAAATACACTGCTATATAAAAAAACAATAGCTGTGTCATCTTTACTTTCTACCTGCCTATTTTTAGTGCACCGTAGACGATAAAATATAGGACATGAATAACAACTTGTTTATTCAGCTCGGAGTTTTTCAAATTTTTTTTGGAAATATATGCTTTCAAGATAATGTTTAGTTACATCCAAGAGAACACTTGTAAACCGAGGTCTCCTTGCTGAGAAACATCATTTCCTTTTAATCTGTAATTCGCAGTTGTTGATTGTCAAATGTTTTAGTTGAAATATCGCTTTCGCTGCTCAGCCGGAACGCTCTTAATTTGAGTGTCCAATCTATGCAAAGAAGAGTGTCAGGATTTTCTATAAATGTGACACAGATCTTAATTTAGGTTTTGAAATATCACACGATATTCGCCTCACGAGGGTTGTAAAGAAAATAGTTCCGAAAAAATTTCTGGAATAGAATTCAAGATTGAAGGAAATTAAAGGGTGGCACAGTATATAATAGAAGACAGGAGAAAAAAATGGGCAGAAGTTTAAGGCCAGATTATACAAATAAAAAGCACGGCCTGCGCAACTAATTTGAATTCAGGAACGTCAGTCAAATATGATGTAAAGTCAAACAAGCCGTAATTGAGTCGTACTCTCAACATTGTTCTATAACAATATTTTTTCAAGATAAATAATTGCTACCGGCCTTACTAGAGAGCGACACTGAAACAGGAAATAAATTTCTGCTGCAATATACTTCTAAAAATTAAAAAAAAAATGTGTGAAATTAACAAGGAAAACCAAGTACAGTTACCTAGCACTATATTTATCCAAAGCAATCCTCAGTGGTTCAACTCGTTTCGTCTTCGCTCAAAATTACAAAAGTGACAAATGCACGCAAACAGTGCGAGTTAAAATTAATAGCGAGGGTAATAATACTCACAGGAAGTCATCTGTTTCGTTGTAGAATGGGGCCAGATAGGTCACCATCCAAACTTTTCCCCCAAAGCAGTCGAAATAAGGTCGTGTCCATGCCCCATCTTCAAATGTCACATGAGGAAAGACCTTTTTTTTCAGCTTTTGCGTGTGGGTTAAGTTGTATCGTACTTCGTAATAGCTTGTGATGCTCTTGGGACGGAAACCAAGTGCTTTATTTTTAGGTTTGTGCCACCAAACCGCATTTTTGTCCGTCGTGTAGTCGTATCCTTCGTTATCCGCAACTATATCTATGACATGAACGCTTTTGTTTAGCTCGGGATCCCTGAACGCAAAGGGACAAAAGCGTGTGTAATTCTTGTACAAATAGTTATCAAAGCAGATCACCGAACCGAAGACAGATGGCGAAAATAAAACGATTGAGCGCACATAGTGGTACAGAAGTACGTCATTAGCTGCAATGGGATTACCGTCTTTTCCCCGCGAGCGCCACAGCGATGTCATAAGGTTAGCCACTTGCACCGTCAAAAGAGCTTCTTGCTTCCATCTCCTTTCGTCAAAAGTTATGTTCAGTAGATCAACCTTGTCACATTGACCATTCCGTTCTTGAAGCTGTTGCTCGACACCTGCGACTTTGCGAAGGGCAATTTCTACAGCAGATTTAGTTTTACGCTTTACTTCATCCTTTTCAGCCACTGTCTCCTGTTCGGCTGTGGCACAACATCTACATTGCGACCAAAAATCGTCACTGGCTATTTGATACAAAGCGATCGTTACAAGCAGAGCCACACGAAACGATATCATCGTCAAATAAGGGTAAACTGCGATTTAATCTCACACACCGAAAAGTGGAGAATGGATATTGGCCCGAATTTCTTAAGTATTAATCTTGGGCTGGTGTGCAACTTGCTGTCCCTGATTCGTGCGTTGGGAGGATTACGAAAGAAGGATGACAATTAGGAATTTTATAGAGAATGACTAAACTCATTAACATATATGGAGTTTAGCGAACACTGAAAAATAGCACTTAAGAAACCGAAGCCTACTCGTAATTGGAGAGGCTACATCTCTAGTCAGCATTTGAAGTTTGTTTGTTTTCTTTTAATTACTATCATTTTTCTTCAGCCCGTGCCACGCAATGGAGTCAACTGCGTTTGAGATTTATTTTCAGTTCTGATTTGAATGAAGCTAAAGTTACCATTGAAACCTAACGTCGGAGACAAATATGAACTTGGAAGTTATATTTTGTAAATGGTATTCAACGAACCGCATCAATCTCCACGTCACGTCCTCACATTTCATGCAGATCGATGGGATATCTTATTTTCTTGCATATGGAACAACACTAACGTGCTGCGCGCACTGGAACTCTAATATATATAAATTTTTAAAGAGTATTAGAATCAACGATTGGTACATCAGCTTTTTTAAACATATTGGGTTTAAATGCAAAGAAAATTAAGTATTCCTAAATAATATTCCGATTTTAAAGTTAGGATATCCCCTTTACCTTTTCCACAAGATGCTTGTGTCGTCTAAAAGGTTGTAAATGTTCCATATTTTATTTGAGGATTGTCTGATTAACAGTTGAACTACTTCTCCGCGGAAATTTCTGACTGATGGACACTTCATTTGCATTAATATCGTTTCTAGTTTTGTTTTAGCTCATCTATGCCTGACAATATTTAGGTGGCTTTTCAGAACGTAAACGTAACTAGTAAAACGCGGACTAGTAAAATGCGGACTAGTAAAACGTTGACTAGTAAAAAAGCGGACTAGTAAAAGGCGGACTAGTAAAACGCGGACTAGTAATACGCGGACTAGTAATACGCGGACTTAACAACAACAACAACATATAAACAATTTCATACGAAGGCGTTCACAAGACTTAATGGCGAGTCAATTTGCTGAGTGACAATCCCTGTTTGACCTTTAAGCTACATATGGGTTTGACATGCGCCAGATACAAACGAATTTATACGTTAGGCTGAGAAAGAGTTTTATTCAGCACCAGTTTAAAATCCTAAAATACACTTTCGTCGCAAATTTCACGGAAGAAACGCAGGAATTCAATGAATAAAATTCGCATTAAATCTCCTTGTGTCTAGGTAGAAAGAGTCTCATTGTCTTCAGATTTTCGGCGGAAGAAAGAGCGATTTACACACGCCATTACAGAAAACAAACAAGCAGACGGACAACTCCAAAACACATATTTGCATTCACTTGCAATTTGACTTTCCGTGACATTTTAAAACGGAACAGAGGTAATTCTTCGAATATTCATCGTCGTTGGAATTAAAAAATACTTTCCGTAAGATCTCTGTTTTTCTCTTTACGAGAAAATCGTCGCATGTTCAGTTAACTCGTGTGTGTTTGTTACACCAGTACTGCTGTTTCCTCTAAAGCGTATGCTTCTTTTCTCTTCAATTGACAGGTGTCACATCGTGACAGTTACTTTTCAAAAAAATGTTTTAAAATTTGTTCGGAAGCCTTTTAACTACCTTTACAAATAAAAATGTTTCGGCGAAAGCTTTCTCTTTAATTTGAAGAACGTTTGTTTTCTTTATAACTCAC